GAGGGAGGGACGGGAGCTCACCGCCCTCCCACCTCGGCAGCCCGGGTCCGCCTGCCCACCTCTGTCCGCCCTCGCAGGAGGAAAGGGGGCACTGACCCCTCGGCCTCCTAGGACCTCAATTCAAGGTCAAAACTGCCCAGATCAGTCCAGCTCGACTGCCCAGCGTCTGGGCCGGGGATGGGGGTGGGGGCGCGGATCTGGGCGGGGCTCAGGACAGAGTGGGTCTGAGGTTCTCACCTGCCATTAGTGCGGGTGAGTTAAAGACCGACGGTGGCGATTACTAACGCTCACCTACCGCAACCCAGATTGCCAGGACCAGTGCCAAACCCTACGTGTTTGGAATCAACTCTTCGTAATGCTTGATTCACCTCATGAGCGGTACTGTCAGAGGCCGGGGAAACGAGGCCAGGAAGGCTAAGTTGTTCGTCCTGAGCCACACAGCGAGCGAGTGAGGGAGGCCGGGTGGTGAACCCTGGAAATCTGCCTCCAGAGAATGCCCTCTTTACCAGTAAGCCATGCTGATGGGGTCGTTTGACTCCGTTGAAAAAAATCTCCAGAATCGCAAACAACTGCATAGTATGTGGTGTTAATTCTCCTGTTCCATTTACTCCATAGTGATTATCGCGCTCTGAAATTACCTTGCCCATCTACTTGTTTATTTGTTCATCACTTGTGTCTCATTTACCCCCACTATTAAAATATAAGTTGCTTGAGGGCAAGGAGGCTACATTCGTGTATCCACTTAACACATACCTATTGAGTATTAACTATGTGTGGAAAAGCACAGTGATAAGTGCTGCGGAAACATCCAAGATTCAGGCCCTACCATTATAGATGGAATCTTTGTGCCTGTATCTTACCCATAGTGAGAACTCCATCAATATTTGTCTAACAAGACAATGTGTGGCAACTGAAAAAATTCTTTCCTTCTGTCCCTACAAAAGTTAGTATTAACAAGGTTTACAAGTGAAAACATTGAACATTAATTAATGTCAAGGTATTTGGCCCTTTACCAAGGAGCATACACAAGATGCTGTGGAACATACACAAGACGTGTATATTTGGGTTTCCTAAGGACAGATCACCTACAGTTAAGCTGAGATTGCATGCAACCAACTAGTAAAATATTTAAGAGCCTTTTCCACAAATATAATAAAGAACAGTAATAAGAGTATTAAATCTAAGTCCCAGACAATGATGGATCAAATGAATTGGGAGGAAGGAGCCTCTCAGCTTCAGGAATAGTGGTTCTTCATGTGTAGTTGTTGACTGAAGGCAGAATCTATGTTTGTGTGATGTCATCAGAGAACGCTTCATGAATGAGGTGGTGACACACAAAGAATGGAAAGGCTGTGGATGTCAAGTGGAGAGGAGAGAGGGTGGAAGAGCTTTCACAGCAGACAAGGAGCAGGGGTGAGCATCACATTTGGGGCCAGAGTTGTGTTTGGTAGTGAACATAATATTGAATATGATGGACTGTGATTATAGAGATTCTTTATTTTTTAAAAACTTTATTGTGCTATGGTTCCTGTATAGTAAACTACACATATTTTAGATGTATAATTTGATGAATTTTGATAGATGTATACACCAGTGAAACCACCACCACAACCAAGATAGTTAACATTTCCATCACTCCTAAAGAGATGCAGTATTCAAACTCCCAGTTCACCCCTTCCCACTCCTCCCTTTACCCTCTGGTAACCATAAATTTGTTCTCTGTGTCTGTCTGTTTCTGTTTTGTAGATAAGTTCATTTGTGTCCTTTTTTTTTTAGATTCCACATATAAGTGATATCATATGGCATTTTTCTTTCTGGATTACTTCACTTAGAATGACAATCTCCAGGTCCATCCATGTTGCTGCAAGTGGCATTATTTTATTCTTTTTTATGGCTGAGTAGTATTCCATTGTATAAATATACCACAGCTTCTTTATCCAGTCATCTGTTGATGGACATTTGGGTTGTTCCCATATCTTGGCTATTGTAAATGGTGCTGCTGTGAAAATTGGGGTGCATGTGTGTTTTTGAATTACATTTTTCTCTGGATATATGCTCAGGAGTGGGATCACTGGATCACATGGCAAGTCTATTTTCAGTTTTTAAGGAACCACCATACTGTCCTCCACAGTGGCTGCACCAGTTTACATTCCCACCAACAGTGTAGGAGGGTTCCCATTTCTCCACACCTGCTCCAGCATTTATTTGATTGTGGAGATTCTTGCTTGAATGCTAGGCAGAGCAGTTTGTACTTGATTCAGGAAGCCAGAGGCAGTTTTTTTTTTAATAGTGGAGCAATGGAGTTCTGGAAAGATTAATCTGGCAGGTGAGTTGAGGAAATAATAAAAGGGGAGCAATTAGAGCAACCGTAGTAATTCAAAAGTGCACGGCACTCACTCTTCATTTAGCCCAGTAGCTCTTAGTGGTATACCATTTTGATGAAACCTAATAAATCCTTTCTCCTCTAGTATGGGAGTGGATTGAGAATGTTCATTTTGTGGCTCCCGTTTAAGACACCTATCTTTTGGATGTACTAGTGTAATTGTAGTGGATTTTCCAAGGAATGTGGTAAAGCACAGCTCACAGCTGAGACTACTGTGTGGCCATATGTTAACTAAATCAAAAGGAAAGCAGTTTGCCTCTCTCTCAGCCGGGGAGTTCTGTATTTGAATTATTATTTCCCCGGAAGACCACCCAGTAGCACCCAGTCTGTTCCCAGATTACCTGCCAGTGCCCAGGTGATTGAGGGCTTCCTGCCTCATCTTTTGGGCAGAGGTCAAGCTTCTCCAGCTCCTCACAGATCATTCCTGTTGTTTATATTTAGTTTTCTCCGACCAAGTCTCCTGTCGCACTTGAACGGTGATGTGTAGCATCGACGTACTTTAAACATGCTGCATTTTATCTCAGTGTTTATGTACCAAAAAGATTTTTGCTATCTTTCTTTCTTGCTGGAGTTTGGGAGCTGTAACATTTTATTAAGTGATAGCCTAGAAAGGCAGGTTGTTATGTTTAGAGATTGTTGTGGACTGAATGTTTGTTTCTCTCAAAATTCACATGTTGACATTTTACCCCTTCCCCCCACCACTGCCCCAGTGTGACTGTATTTGGAGATGAGGCCTCCACGGTTATATGAAATCATAAGGGTGGGACCCGGACCTTGTAGGAATTAGTTTCTTATAAGAAGAGACAGCAGAGAGCACAAAGCATGTGGAAAAGACCTGGTGAGAAAACAGCAGCCTGCAAGCCAGGAACCAAATTGGCTGGAGCCTGGATCTGGGACTTCCAGCCTTCAGACCCGTGAGGAAATGAATGTTACTTACCCAGTCTATGTTATTTTGTTATGGCAGCCTGAGGAAACTAATACAGAGATATACCATAACTAAGGAAAATATAGGAATTTAC